GGCAAGTGGGAGGAAGGAAATAGTTTGTCATGGGCATCAAGAAGGTGCCTGGTGCTGGATCTGGTTGGTAAGAAGGGACGTTCAAAGCCAGGGAACTGGACGCCACTGCCCAGAAACTTAAAAAGCCCCATCAAATGCAGAAAGTGCCCAGTGCTCAGGATGCCAAGGTCCCTCTTGAGTTTAGACCCAAGAAGAAGAAGGGAGACAGGAGAAGGCAGAAAGGGAAAGAAGGAGGGAGCCAGCAAAATGAACGGGTAGAGGGCTTGCTGACAAAGCTCATAACCCGAGTTCGATCCCAGGGACCCACATGGTGGAAGGACAGAACCATCTCCCACAAGTTGTCTTTAGACCCCACATGCACACTGTAGCAATGGCCCCCAAATAAATAAATGCAATGATTGAAAAAGCAAAACAACCCCCAAACCCGCAGGATCTATTTCTTAAGTGAAAGGAAAGAAGGACAAGTGTTGAAGCCGGGCCAGGTGGAGCTCTATGAGTTCGAGGCCAGCCTTGTTTACAGAAGGAGATCCAGGACAAGCACCAAAACTACACAGAGAAACCCTGTCTCAAAAAACCAAAAGGAAAAAAGAAAAAAAAAAAAGAAAAGAAAAAAGAGTGTCGAGGTGTTTTAGAACAGGATGCTGACGATTCTGATCACCCAGACTGACTGGGAGGGGATGGGAGAGTGGACCATGGACTTGAACCCTGGGGCTACCAAACCAAGAGACCAGAAATGAAGGATGTAAGGGCTGGTGGGTAGATGCTCCAGTGCCTTTGTCCAAAGAGACGGTATCACCACCTGAACAAGGACACTGGGAAGAGCTTGAGGGTCCAGGCAGGTAAGCACAAACCACCCTACGGGCCATGGCTGGAAACAGGTCACAGGAACTGGAGGAGGCAAGGTCTGCTGGACCGGAGCGAAGGCTCCAGGAGGGGATATGCAAGCTGTGGGAGCGCAGCTATCATATCGGGCAACCTTGAAACAGCTTGCGCTCTTCCTCTTCTTGCCCCACGCACAGCGGAGGTCTGTCGGAACCCAGCCCCATTCCCGGCCGATGTTTCAATCGGTGCCTAACTCCTACCAGCCAGGGAGGTGCTGGAAATGTAGAAGTTGTTTCCAGAACGCGGAATCCTGGAGTTAATCTCCTGGGCAGTCTCAGATACCATTTCCGTTTTCACCATGCACAGTGTGCTCAAACTTCGGGGCGCGCTCAAGTGAGTTTCCAACCACTTCTGCTCACATCCGCCTAGCTGGTGAGGCATCATCCCACCATAGGACCTGCTGCTACTTTCCAGATTCCTTACTGTGTCATTGCTATGCCTGAAGTTATATCCAGACAGGCAGGGCCCCCCAAAGGGCAGGAGTATCCAAACTAAGATGGCTGGACTCGGCTTTCACTCCCCTGTGCCTCCTTCGTGACTCCTTCGTGACAAAGCTCCTGCAGTCCTTCCTCACAGTCCTTCCCCCCTGTGAGGTTGCTGCCTTGACCTGGACACCACTGCTTCTGAGTCATTCCCAAACTCAGCAGAACTCAGCCAGTGACACACACACAAAGCCACGTGTTAGTACACACCCTTGCCGACCAACACTCAGACTGGGAGCCAGGGCTTTTCAGCTCTGCCTGTCTGTCTGTCCTATCTGGGCTCTTCCACTCCACTGAATCCTCTCCAGCAGTTTTTGTTTGTTTGTTTGTTCCTTTTTTTTTTTTAGATTTATCTATTTATTCATTATGTATAGTGTTCTGTCTGCATGTTGCCTGCAGGCCAGAAGAGGGCACCAGATCTCATTACAGATGGTTGTGAGCCACTATGTGGTTGCGGGGAACTGAACTCAGGACCTCTGGAAGGGCAGTCAGTGCTCTTAACCTCTGAGCCATCTCTCCAACCCTTCCCCACCAGTTTTAAAGAGCCACATCAGTGATGTCCCGAGTACAGAACCCTTACCACTAACCAGGCATGGTGTGACGCTCTTCATTAAAATTGTTAATTTTTTTTTTCCTGAGACAGGGTTTCTCTGTGTAGTTTTGGTGCCTGTCCTGGATCTCGAACTGTAGACCAGGCTGACCTCGAACTCATGGAGATCAGCCTGGCTCTGCCTTCCGAGTACTGGGATTAAAGGTGTGCACCACCACTGCGCAGCTTAAAATTGTTAATCTTTACAGGAGGGTTTTTTGTTGTTGTTTTGTTTTGTTTTTGTTTGTTTGTTTGTTTTTTAGTTTTTTGAGACAGGGTTTCTCTGTGTAGCGTTGTGCCTTTTCCTGAAACTCACTTGAACTCACAGAGATCTGCCTGGCTCTGCCTCCCAAGTGCTGGGATTAAAGGCGTGCGTCACCACCGCCCAGCATCCGAGGCTGGTTTTGAACTTGCTGTTCATCCCAGGCTGGCTTTGAACTCCTGAATCTCATTTCCTCTTTTTGATGCTAGAATTATAGGTTTGAGCTACCACAAGTGGTTCAGAAAGGGATTCAACTCTCATTTTATAGATGTGGAAACAGAGGCATGAGGAGTCTGTATTTATTCGTGTGTGTGTGTGTGTGTGTGTGTGTGTGTGTGTGTGTTGGTCCCAATGTGTGTGGAATGTATGTGGGGGTCAAAGGATAACCTGCAGGAAGTGGTTCTCTCCTCTCACCGTGTGCATCCTGGGATCAAACTCAGGTCATCAGGTCAGCGGCCGGCACCCTTACCCATTGAGGCATTCCACAGTCTTTGTTTTTTTAAAGCCTGGGGTGACACAGATGGGAAGTGGCCTGCATCTCAGGATGGATTCCCTCTCCCCACAGCTCCCCTCTGGCTGCCTTAGGGGCTCCATCCTCTGAAGGCCCCCTCTCATCCCTCTGCTAGGTGAAAACCAACCCTCAGGCTTCTCTCCCAGCCAAAGACCAGCACATGTCTCAGTACCCCACACAGGACCAGGGAGAGAGTGTGTCTCCATGGCACTGTAGGTGGTCCCAGAGAACCTGAGCATCACTCTCTGAACACCCCAGGTTCTGCTTCTAAAGGACCCCATCTTCCAAATCATTTTCTTCTCGGAGTCTTTTGGTTGAAGGGAGGGATGCATCGCTTGGTTAAACTCCTTTACAGTGGGGTGGGAGAGACTCTTAAAGTTGAGGTCAGCGACATAGCAAAGGGGATTTGCTTCCCTGTCGTCTTCAAATGGTGGTCTCCAGCCCTGGAAAGGGATGTTCCCGCCCTTCACCCTAGGGGCGAGTGTCAGTCTCTCTCCAGGAATGTGGTCAGTGTAGGGTGAGTTTGGGGACACTGAGCCAATGAACCAGCAGGAGAAGGGACTCCACACTGTCCTTTTTATCTTTTTCATTTTTTATATTTTGTTTTTTTGAGGTTTATCTTAATTATTATGTATACAGTGTTCTGTCTGTCTGAATGCCTGTCTGACAGAAGAGGGCATCAGATCTCCTTATGGTTGGGAGCCACCATGTGGTTCCGGGAAATTGAACTCAGGACCTCTGGAAGAGCAGCCAGTGCTCTTAAGCTCTGAGTCATCTCTCTAGCCATATATATGAGACACAGTTTCTATGTGTTTTCCTGGCTGTGGTTGACCTGGAACTCACTGTGTAGACCAGGCTGGCCTCAGACTTAGAGATCCGCCTACCTCTGCCTTCAAGTGCTGGGACTAAAGGCGTGTGCCACCACTGCCCTGCCACAAAGTCCTTTTTTAAAAAGAGTTTTTAACTTTTTTTTTCAA